GAGCGTTCAACATATGAAGCTTTGGAACTTTTCCTTCAGGCTTCAGGCCTACAAGCCTAGTACAAGGTGCAGTGAGATAAAGGTATTATAGTCTAACCTACCAGTGTACAGACAAACAGACAGACAGACAGATGCCAGGTGTAAGTGCACCATCGCTGCCATGTGCTGGGAGGCTGAGAGCTGCAACACATTTTTTCTTTATGGCTTTCAAATTCTCCCTCGTGCTCCCTCACTCATGCCTTCATTTGTTGCCATTTTCAATTTTTTTAATTTTAATTTTTTGAAATTTTCAAGTTTAAATTTTCAAAATCGAGCGCAACAGTTGCCTGGGATCTTGTCTGACTTATATCATTTAGTTGACGCAGCTCAACCGTGCAACAGCTAAAAAAATTCATTCCAATTCAATTTCAAATGAGAAATGCATTTATAAATGGCACCATGAATACAATTGTTTTCTGGTTTTTCTTTTTTCACAACTGGAGTAGCATACAGTCACTTCCATTCCACAGCAGAAAATGAACAGTTGCCCGAATCCCGTCTTGGTACAAAAATGGCAAACGGAAGGAGGCTCGTACAGTTTCTCTTGAAAAACGCCTTTTGGGGGAACAAGAGGGTCGTTGAGCTAGCTGTCTCGAAAAAAGGAGACAGCTAGCTCAACGGAAACTTCCGAAAGTGGCGACGGTAGGGGGAGTAGTATTCGAGAGAGGATTTCCTTCTGCTTTTTTTTTTTTTCCTTTTTTTTTTTTTTTTACCATTCCATTATATGCCAGAAACCGGGTCCGGTGTCCCTTACATATGAACCGCAGCCATCCAGGGCTGGGAAAAGCACTCCCGACCAATCCCATCCCCGACTGCTGCCAAATTCCATCAAAGGTTACTCAAATCCTAGCCACTACTAAACAGCCCTGGACCGGAAAAAATTGTTGAAACATTTTGAGCCTCTTTTGAACGCATCCCTTCATGATGACATCAACTGACATCCCTTCATGATGAGAAAAGGGGAACATTTTCATTTTCAGCCTCTTTTGAACGCATGGGCAATGTCGCACACGTAAGTGGAAGGTGCATGAAAATCCAAACCAAAAAAATTGGTGTGATTTTCACGCACGTTCACGACCCCCAGAGGAGCACCACAACAAAAGCAAAACATATGCCACCCTATTGAGCCCCCCCAAAAGTCATATGTTTCCCCACGCCGAAAACCAAGAAAAACAACAACACTGATCACCGTTCTCATCATCGGCGCCAAAGGGTCACACGCCCTATCCGCTACTCCACATACATCGGTAGTGGGACCTCCCTCCTGCTGCAAACCGGGACCAGCGTCTCTATTGCCTTTTTAAATTTTTTTTATTAAAAACGGACCGCTAGATGACTTGGACGACGTGCATCTCCGTTGTCGCGTACAGTCACACATCGTCAAAAGCTTAACGTTGACCTAGCTCAATGGAGCGAGTGGAACAACGGGGCTCGTTCGACACTCCTCGGGCGCGTAAAGTCCCCGAGGAATTGTTCGTTCCACTTATCCGTAGGGTTGCAGTCGGAAAAAAATAAGTGAAAACGCTCCAAAGGAAATTCATCGGGCTCCGAGGATTCCCCAGCCATTTCTCCCTTTTGCGGAAGTTTTGCCCAAGGGACCTCATGGGCAAAAGGAATCCGCGTTTCACGGAGAGGAGCGGGCACACGCTTAGAGAGACATTACAACCGAGAATCTGGATCGTGGCGGCATCCTTCTGGCTGACGGCCTTAAGCACATTTGTTTTTTTTTTTTTCCCTTTTTTCTTTTCTGACATCGCTCCAAGGAAGCGTCCTCGGGCGACGTCCCCGAGGACAGGTGGAATGAAGGGCCCAAATTTCCTTTTGGCTAAAAGGAATTTTTCCTTGGGCTCCGAGGACACCCCAAGGAGTGTCGAACGAGCCGCAAGGTCCCTTGTCCAGGAGTAAATGGAACAAACGGCACCAGCCCGGAACATTCGTTTGCAGGCCAGTACTGCTTCAGAGCTTCTGCACATCCATTTGAATCAAATTGAATGTGAGCCTGAGGCAAAAGTTTCTCAATCTATTTTTCTCCATAGCATTGTCTTGGTTCAAATTTTTTTGACTTCTTTTTTTTTTGGGTTCAATTTTTAAATTTCATGACCAGGTCGGCGTTATGATGACTGGGACCCTCCTGTAGCAGACGTAAATCGAGAAATGGTTCAAAAAAGCAATTGAAGTTCCTCCAACACTGGGTTCCCGGACCTGATCAAAATCCAGAGGGGGCAAGGGGAGCAGCCAGTGTTGAATTTTCCGAGCTTCTTCCTGTGTGAGGTCTTCGTTTAAAATTCACAATTTTATCTTTGAAGGCCCCACAACCTGCCTATCACAAAAATAGAAAAAAACTTTTCTGGGTGCCCGGGCACCGGACTTATGCCTGGCTACACGCCCGGGTGACTGGCCGGGCATGACCCCCGGGCAGGGTTCCGGGCACCCCGGGCACCCAACTTATGCCCGGGTACACGCCCGGGTGACCGGCCGGGCATGACCCCCGAGCAGTGTTCCGGGCAGCCCCAGCACCAAAAAAAAAAAAAAAAAAAAAAAATCAAAAAATCCCTGAATTTTGTTTTTTGTTAGAATTGCAATGCAAACATCTTTTGGCCGAGGGTCACCTAGCTCAGTTGGTTAGGCATGCAAGTGGCATTCAGGAGGTTGTGGGTTCAAGCCCCATGGCCGCCTGCGGCGCACTTAGTGCCAATGGACTGTGATAGTCCTCTGGATACCCCTGATCGGTATTAGCGGGGTCTATGACCAACACGGGTGTGAGTGTGAGCGCGAGTGGGTTGTGTGTGGTCTGTGGGAGAGTGTTGGCCATAGCCTCTGCTGCTACTCGATGAAGGGTGGGGGACGATGAGAAAGGGAGGCACAGCTACTGGCAGGTCTCGGTCTTTGTGTTAGCCAGACCCCCACTGGCAGCCCCAACCCTATACCCTAACCATTAGGGGCAAGGGGCAACATGAAATCTCCCCTTCACAGAGACAGACAACTATGCTTGCAGGGGTCCCCTCTAGATAGTCTTAGGAGTAGGTAGTGGAAGGTAAAGAAACAGAAGTTCAGGGAAGAATATAGAAAGAAAGAAAAACAAAAACAAAAAAAATTCCCCACTCAATCGGAGATAAAAAAAAAACAGAATCACACTAAGGCAACCCCCTTTAAACCCCTTCGGCCCCTCTAAAACCAAATTGAGACAACTGCACCTGTGACCGCTGCACAGTTCAGAATTCACAGAAATAACAGTCCACTGCAAGATGGGCCGTGAGCAGTTCAAAACAGCAAAAAAAAACAGTGAACTGCTCGTTATAGGGCCTACCGCCGCTACCCGTTCAATATTCGGCGAAAACGGGACGTGGCCTGGCCTAGCAGGCCCTCCCGATTTTTTTTATTTTTATTTTTTTTCGTTTTTGGGTTCTGGCAGGAATGGGTTAGGGCAGGAAAAGCCGCCGACCGTGCCCCGTTAACACCCACCCCACTCTCTCTCTCTCTGTGCGTGTGTGTCTGCTGCTCGTCCCACCAAAGTGCGAATGTACCTGGCCCATTTTCTGCGAGCGAGCCACAGAGAGAGAGAGAGAGAGAGAGAGAGAGAGGAGAGGCAGATGGAGCAGGCAGGCAAGTGGGCAGCAGAGAGCGCAAGCCGGAGCCAGAGTGAGAGAGAGAGAGGTAGACAGAAGAGTAGCATGTCCAAATAAGTGCGAATGTATCTGACACAGATATGGACCAGATACATTCGCACTTTGGTGGGCCGCGCAGCAGACTCACAGAGAGAAATGAGAGAGAGAGAGAGAGAGGTGGGCCGCGGGTGTTAACGGGGCACGGTCGGCGGCTTTTCCTGCCCTAACCCATTCCCGCCAGAACCCAAAAACGAAAAAAACAAAACAAAAAAAAAAAACGGGAGGGCCTGCTAGGCCAGGCCACGTCCCGTTTTCGTCGATTATCGAATTAAACCGGCAGGCCATATAACGAGCAGTTTAACTGTTTTTTCTTGCTGTTTTGAACAGCTCACGGCCCAATCTCGCAGTGGATTGTTATTTCTGCGAATTCTGAAAAAACTGTGCAGCGGTCACAGCCTCACAGGCGCAGTTTTCTCAACCAAATTATAGCCCTCCCCTCCCTTTGACAGCCAACTCGCAAAAGACGAAAGGAGACCGGATTTTGAGTCCTCTGGGAGACCAGAGAAAACCAAAAAACAAAAAACAAAAAAAAAAAAACATTTTTTTTTTGTTGTTTTCGCATGCCCAGGTACCCCAGGGCCCAGGCATCACGCCCAGGTGCCCAGACGGGCAGGACCGGCCGGGTGTAAGAATCTTTCTAAGAGCATTTGACACTCGGGACTCCACTAAACTGCAAGCACATGGTTCATCTGCATTTAAAACTCTTTGACTCAGGCACAGACGAATCGTAGAAAAATATAAGAGACAGAATATAGAATCCTGTGCCGATTATGTCTAAAATAATGCGATCCCATTGGACACTTTCTATTCAGAGAGACTCGCCATACAAACACTCGCACCTACATCCACCGGACCACCGCATATTTTTCCAAACATTGAAGCCAGAAAAAAGACCAAGTTCAATGAACCAAGCAGTGCGCGCACAGTAATGCCTATCACAAATCGACAAGACATTCTGAAGGACAAAGAGACTCAATACCGACACAGTCACTCCGTGCGCACGGACTGGAGGCACAGAGCATGCAAAACAAATGGAGAAACATTCATCTCCCTGTCATCAGCGGAGTCGTCCAACTTCTCTTCGTTTCATATTCACCAGAATCACCACACAATCACCAGCACCACCAGGCTCCAGCACCGTCCCAAAGGGACACCACTGCAATCATTTTACTCCAGCCTCATCACGCATCAGCGCCAAGGGACATACTATGATATAGTAGGCTACTAGCTAGTCCACAGCTGCTGCACGGTTAAGTCGGGTTGACCAATGCAGTGATGCTCAGGCCATTGCCTCCCAGACTTTGGGTTCCGGCAAGAGCCATCATTAGCACGCACGGTCATCCACACTGAAAATTCCTAAAATCGTTCTTCACAAATGGAATCGTTGTTAGGCTGTTGTGTACTCTTGAACATCCTAGTCTCTAGTCCAGCCACCCTGCAGCATTCACCATGAGATGCCTCTCTCTCTCTCTCTCTCTCTCCCTGCAGCATTCGCCATGAGACGGCTCTCTCTCTCTCTATATATCTATCTATCTATCTATCTATCTGTGTGTGTGTGTGTAAAGAAGATTGGTCATCATCCCCTCCTCCGTATATAGTAATCAAACTTCGTCAGAGCATCAGCGCCATCTCTAGTCCAGCCACCCTGCAGCATTCGCCATGAGAGGCCTCTCTCTCTCTCTGTCTCTCTCTCTCAGTGTAGAGAAGATTGGTTCTCATTCCCTCGTCCATGTGTAGTGACCAAACTTCAAAGCATCACAATGCTAACTCTCGCATTCAACGGAAAATGTGGTGTTCCTTGCGGTATTCTCTTCATCTTCAAATGAAAAGGAAATACCGGAGTTACCACAGGTCCACAGACAGGTGCAGAATAAGCGAACAACTCCACTCCAAGACTCCACTCCAAGACTGGCAGAAAAACTGAGAAGAAAGTTAAACAATTCGGAAGGCGACTCTGAGGACAACTCGGAGCATGAAAAGAAAAGAACTCTCCGAGTCTCCGAGCATACAGAGATGTAAGAAGGATTAAAAAAAAACTCCAATTACACTAAACAAAGCCAACACACCCCCAGTTCACAACTTTTCAAACAGAGAGGTGACCAAAAAACAGAACAAAATAAAACGATCTATGTCAGGATAATCCAGAGAAGCAGGGCACACTGGACAACCACCCCCTACCCCTCCATCGTACTTAAACCATTCCAGCAGAATGATTCAAGAATAAAACGTTTTCCATGGACGATATTTTAAGACCAAATCAGTGCAAGGAAGGCGAAGAGCACACTCAGCAACCGCACGACTGAACAACAATGATTCTAATAGAGCACACATACAGATTTTCGAAAACAAGGGCTGTTCGAATAGAACTGACACGCATTGTATTCCAACTCGCAACACGCATATGCGTTACGTTCAGTGAAGACGGTGGGAGAGGCCATCACAACCCCAGCCCGCTTATTTCCCAGGATCAGGAGCAGCACCAGCCTCACAACCCTACCACCTACATTACTACCCCCGCCTCCACAGTAAACATCAGTGACATCCGTGACATCTAATTTCAAGAGCGGTGTAATCTCCCTGAACATCGCACCCACAAAAAAAAAGACACCCTCAACTTCAGTTTCAAGTACTGCCACAGCAGCACCAGTCGTTGCAAGCTAGCTCACTCAGAGCAGCCGACAACAGCAGGCTGAGCTGCTCAATTGCACCTCTACCCTCTGAAACTCTACCCTCCGGTCCAGATCGGACACTTGCCGCTTGAGGCTTGACTCTTGACGCTCCTCCCATGATTCAGATGACGGCCCACACACTTGGAGAGGAATCAATCCGCTCATACCTGGCAATGCTGGCACCCTGCACCTCGTCCATGTACGTGTGCGTGAAAACACTCTTCTGCATATGTGAAAACGCTCTTCCATGTAAGTGAAAACGCTCTTCCGCGTAAGTGAAAACACACGTCACAGAACTACGTACCCCTTCAAGCAATGTGCACAACAGCAAGCCGCACAACATTCAGCAATCCATCCGAACTGTCATCATGAGTGAATAGAGAGACCCTAAACACTCTGCGCCATATGAATGAGAGAGAGAGAGAGAGAGAGACCCTGACACCTCACGGCCTGTATGAATGGCTGCACAGTGACTCCAAAAGCATTGTCGTTCCCCGACCGGGCCTGACGGTCCTGACCTAATCCCCGAGAAATAGCGGGAGATTAGGATCAGTCCGATCAGGTCGGTCATTTAACTCAAACCCCACCCGCGTTGCTCCCCATTCGCGTGACATACTCCTTGGCTTGCAAGACACTCTGCTGGAGCTGCTGTTGTGTCTTATCCAAGACCGCTCCGCCAGGAGGAAGAGGTCCACGGAAATACCGATACATCCACCACACAGCCACCGAGGCCATTAGTGCCATACCTGCAAAACGGGGAGAAAAAGCGAGAAAAAAGCGAAGCACATATCAATGCCTTAAAGAAAAACTGTATTAAATTTCCCGCGGAGTCCGTCACTGAGAAACCGTTAAAGCACAGCAAGCTAAAAGCAGCGAGTCCGACAAGTAAAAAAAAAAAAAAAAAGGCAGAGTCCGTTATTGACAGAGAGGGACCCTCTTAAGATTTCAAAAAAAAAAAAAAAAAAAAAAAAAAAAAAGGGAAAAAAGTCTTGACGTGCCCGCTATTGACAGAGAGGGACCCTCTTATCCCTCAATCAAAGCCAGACGGCTGAGACGGGTGCGGACCAAGGTCAAGGTCACTGAACGATAAACACAGGAATTGAGGGACAGAGGAGAAATATGGTAGTGGGGGGAAATTGCACACACACCAGTTTGGATAAAGAGTGCTGTAACAAGTACACCAGTCCCACCACTCAATAGATTCGGGAATTTGCAGAAATACCGCTTTTCAGAAAGTTCCTTTGCAGATTTATGCCTTCTATGTGGTGCCTAACGCCACCTATGTCACCTATCATGACCTAACGGTGCCTAACACCACCTATCGGGAACCTGCTCCTAACTCACCCTCCTAACTCACCCTTTTAATTTGAACTAGGCAAAAAGGCAAAAGTGGTGCCTAACGCCACCTCTGTCACCTCTCATGACCTATGTCATCTATGCATTTCAGAGTGTGCAACAGTGCAAGTTCGGCGTGTGGTTCCGGTTGGGCGGTTCTAACTGTGGCCGTTTTCTTGAAGTTGAGTGAATGGACATCTAGTGGCGGCTCTTTCTGCCCTGCTTCGTCGCGAACTGCTATAGTCACCTGTTCCAAACATTTAACACTACCTTCTTCCCCCGAATACAATGTATGGTCATTACAGCTGTATCTAAACAAAAGATGCCTCAAATACAGCTATAATGACCCTACGATGTCTTTGGGTGGATAAGGTAGGTGTGACCCAATAGAGGTCGCCCTCCAAAGCAAAAGTAAACAGTCCGAATGATCTCTGTAGGGAAGAGAACTTATCAGTGAACGAGAGTGAAGAAGTAACAATGCAGGCGCAGTCCGAATGATCTCTGTAGGGAAGAGAACTTATCAGTGAACGAGAGTGAAGAAGTAACAATGCAGGCGCTCATCTGAAAAAAAGACGAAGATGAGTCATTAGCGGACAGGCACATTAGCAAACTTAGGCAGCAAGTTGATCAGCTAAGTATCTAGATGAGGTTCAGCGCATTGATGCACTCAGCGATTGATTACATAATCGACCAAAGAAGGAAAGAAAACTTACGCCCCGTGAGGTTTCAGTAAGCTAGAGCAATCAATGAATTCAATCCCACCGGGACATCCTCAATTTTGAATTCCCATCAGCTAGCTAACGGTTCAGTCTACTAAGTCTAGATAAGGGCAAGTCGGAACTCCAAAGTCTGGCTTAACCCCCTCTCAACCCCCTCGACGCAGGCATGCTGTGGTCACAAAGAACGAAGACAACTTGTTTCTGTGCTTTGCACCACCATAGCAACAACAACGGGCATGCTATGGTCCTAAGGCACCAGAAACAAGAGCATGTTCTGGTCACAACGTACCAAAAACGAAGATGCTATAGGGTAAAAAAGACACAAATTGACATGATGAAGTCATATAAAGAACCAAAAACGAAGATGCTATATTAGGGTAAAAAAGACAAATTGACATGCTGAAGTCATAAAGCACAAGAAGCAAACATGCTAGAATGCTGCAAAAGCACCCTACCATACCATCCAGTCCACTTCCCCTCCTCCCTTCCTGCGATCAAAAGCTACGCAAGATACCTCACCGCCCTAGGAGCAATGTACAAGAGCTCGATGCCAGTGCTGCTTAAAACAACTAACGTCTCTGCACATAAAGCGTCGGACAAGGGTTCAAATTCCCACAAGTCATACTTAACTGATCTCCCTTCTCCCTTCCTGTAATCAAATGGCAAATACTACTGCGAATATCGCACCACCCTACACGTACCCTACACGTAGGAGCCATGTACAAGAGCACTGTCATGGATGCCACCACCAGTACCGTTCCCAGCTATTTTTTTCACCCTCGCCCCGGGTAGCGCGCTGGCATGAAACGGAAGGGCGTCCGCCGAGTCGACTCCTCCCTCAGAGCCTTGCTGAGGCTTGCTCCACAACTTGACGCGTCGACGAACGAGGCAGAGAGACTTGTTCCCACTCAATCAACTCGACGACTCAATCGGGTTAGAGAGACTTGTTCCACTAATCGACGTCGGCTCGACGAGATATTAGCCTGGACGTCGAGTTCTCAACTTCTCTCTGTCTGGCGCCAAATGTGAAAAGAGGGTGCGTCCTTCAAAATTCAAATCTCGGCTCGACGAGATATTAGCCTGGACGTCGTGTTCTCAACTCCTGTCTGGCGCCAAATGTGAAAAGAGGGTGCGCCCTTCAAAATTCGAATCATCAGCTCAAATTGGAATGATTCAGAGAAGTCGGAGAAGATAACACCCATGACCGTATGACGTGTGTGCAAATATTACACGCATAAACGGAGAGAAATGATGATACCCATTCAAGCCTGACCCGCTATTTGAGCCGCAAATTGTCCAAACACGAGCACATCGTCGCGTCAAAATAAATGGAGGGTGGAAAGGTACACTCACGCACAATAAATTTCTAGATCGCCAGGGGTTGGATTGGGGGGCCAGATAAACATTGGGCTGGCTAATTTCGTCGCAAGCCCGCCAAGAAAGACTCAGGAAAAAGGAGGTACTTTGGTAGGCAGAGGGTGCTTTTTTTTTCAGCAGATATCAATCGGGGAAACCGTGTAGTGTAACAACATCAAACGCACGAACCGAAAAAAAAAAAAAAAAAAGGAGCAGCCCAATAGTTCTGCACGGGACCGATGTCTTATTAATTAGTACGGCAATTTTACACGACGAGAACAATCATTATGATGACGCGTTTTGAGCTCCCAAGACCTTTTTCCAGATATCTGCGATTCTCTTAAGTTACCTCTGTAGGTTCGCTGGCATGAGGAATAATAGTATCTAAAAAACTTGTTGTCACTCGTATTTTACCATTGTTCTCTGAAATTTCATGGTGATGGCACGGCCAAGTCCACGCCTCAATCACGAGCGTAGGCGGGATACAACGAACAAGGCGAAGAAGCGATACATAAAACAAGAAAAAAAAAAAAAAACATGACCTGCCTAAAGATCAAGCCCGGTCGGGATAACTGGTGGAAACTGCCCACGCACAAAGTTCGAGCGGGGAGAACCGAAAAAGGTTTTCTGTCCTTAGGGACATCCATAAAAATTGGAACGATACAGAGAAGGGTAATTAGCATGGCTTGGCACCTGCGCAAGGATGACAGGCATAAATCGAGAAATGATCCAAATTCTGATAAAAAAAGAAAAAAAAAAGCGTTTCTGGAGGGCCCTATCTACCAATTTTTCTATCAACCCCGAGTCCACACGTGAGACGCAAAGTCCGTCAGTGTCCCTCGATACTCGTCTACTCACAAAAAAAAAAAAAAAAAAAAGCTCTTCTGGAGGGCCCTATCTACCAGTTTTCCCATCAACCCCGAGTCCACGACTCAACCACGTGAGACACCAAGTCCATCAGCGTCCCTTGATACTCACCCCTTCTCAACAGAGCCTGCAAAGGCATCTGCAGGATGCATTGCTGGATCAAGTAAGTACCCCGTAGAAAAGAAGTCCTATCGAAAATCACTCATGCTGCACGTGTCACTTCGATGAAAACATTGCAAGTGCCACTACGAGCAGTGTTCATTACTTTTTTTTTTTTTTTTTTTTCATTACAGAAAAAACGAAGAAAAAGAAGAGTTCCTTGCGCAGGGGCCATGCTAATCATGCTAATCTTCTCTGTTCATTACTATAATAGTCAGTACTCCCGAGGTATCGCGACGGCGATTGCCACGTGGCACGTAAGTGACATGATGGGCTTACGATCCGGTTCAGGTCTCACTGGCCAGAGCGAGGCAGGGTTAACTACGTAGACACACAGCCCTGTGCATGGTATGATGGACGACCAGATACATTGACACATAGTACGCATATGGTTCACTGGCTCAACTTTTTCGATGCGTTTCGCCGCATTTACCCTAAATTACTAGATTTATACTCCGCTTAGTGTGCGTACACACCTACCGTCTTTACCCGAATAGAAAGAGGGGTCATTATAGGATAGGTGTATGTATTTGCAGCGACTTTCAGTCCCGATTCACCGCGCTGACGACCCAGCCAGAGCCAGCCTTCACGGAAATATAGGTGTCTGTATTTGAGGCAACTTTCAGTCCCGATACAACGCGATGATGACCCAGCCAGAGCCAGACTTCACGGAGATACAACTTACGCGAAATGACAACCGATCACAGAATCTTCTTTCCTGGTTTTTATGTTCAAATTTTGGACAAAACAAAGCACCGCTCCTGGGGAGCAGCAGTCCCCGCCAGACCGGCTAGCCATCACCAGCACGAAAAGGAGAAATTAAATGATAAACAGGAGAAATTACATGATAAACATGAGAAATTCGATGATAAACAGTACCCACACCTCCAAAGTGAACTGCCCAGTCCTCTTACCGCTGTCCAGCAGAGTAAAGCGCAGCACCCACACCTGAAAACCACTGAGCCGTCTTCCGCTGCGCAAAGGAGTAAAGCGCTGACACAATTGACTCTATGGGTGGGGAGAATACGACCTGCTGCTCACTGAATCTCTGTTGGTTAATTGATTCTACTACCACCTGGCACGTACTGCTCACTGAATCTTCTTCTCTCATCTTCTGCTGCTCACTGAATCTCCGATGGTGCTCGCTGCATTTTTTTCTTCAATTATCTTCTACTGCTCACGGAATCTCTGTTGGTTATTTAATTCTACTTCCACCTACTGCTCACTGAATCTTCTTCTCTCATCTCCATTCTGACATAAATGAACCCTTCATCTCCATTCTGACATAAAATGAACCCTTATCTCTAGCGGATAAGAGCGTAACTGCCCAGCTAACCCCTAACCTGCCTACCGGAAGAAGAATTTGATGCACTCAAGACTTCAATGACTCACCTCCAAACGTGATTGCAGCCAGAATGCTTCCAGATCGGGCCGTAATCGCGGTCAGATTCCTTGAGAAAAGTGCTACAGGTAGTGCGAAAACACGCCAAATCTATAAAACGCACTAAAGGGCGAGTGACAGCCGACTGCACACCTAACCTGCCTCCCGGGGCAAGGTCCCACTCGCGCAAATTAGGAGATTTCGACCGTTGATATTTGCTATCTACGGTCAGTATCTCTTAATTCGTGCAAGTGGGACCTAGCCCCCGGTCACTCGGAGGCGAGTGCAAGTGATACTGTGATCGTGCTCGAATCGGTCAATCCGTCAGTACTCTCCATTGTCCCAATTGTGTATTGTCCATGACTGCAAATTCCGTATGAAAAAATAATAATAACAATTAATAATAAGAATAAATAAGAATACATAATTAAAGAAAAAAAGCCGTACGCCCTTGCGCTCCTTGGCTCGCCAAATGTGCGACAAGTGGACGTCAGATGGTGGCAGGACATACTGACGCCCTACTTGCGCTAGGACTTTCTTAAATGTATGTAACTGGAATTCGACCAGACCTGAATAAAACTGCAATCGCGTACAGAGCGTAATATATAAAACCCTAGTGTGAGTATGACCTGCTTATCGTCATTGTTCACATTGAGCAACGTGGTGCTGCTGCACCCTTAAGCTAGCTCCAAAGTCAACCCCCATTATGACTCATCATCACTGCATGTCAGTGCATGAGCTGGCTGACCAATCAGATTCCCGCTTCATCACCACGTGGGGCCTCAGGCCTCGCTCAACTACACGACAATCTACACGCATCCGGGCGCTTTGTGGAACCTGCTACATGCGAAATGTTGAATTCGTCTGAATGCACCTGGTCAAGAAAACGTCCAACTGCATATGAAGTGTTGTGCAATGTGCACTGGAGCCCGGACCATGTTGTGTAACGGTCTCCTGGAAGGGGCAGCGAAGTTTCGTTTACGAACTGAGCGTTGTGGAGTGGAGCTCGGCCCACGGTCGCCTTAAGCGGTTTTCTTTTTTTCTTTTGTTCTTGTTTTTCTGTTTGTTTTAATAGCAGGTTTTCCTAAAAGGGGTGTCGAAGTTTCTCCTACGACCCTTGAACGCTGTGGAAAAGTAAGTAAACATGTTCAGTAGACCCTTAAAACCCTGTGGAAACGTAAGTAGAGAAGTGAAGTAGAGAAGTGAAGTACCCTCGAGCCCTGTGGAAACGTAAGTAAAAATGTAGAGCACAATTTCGAACGAGACAAGAACAAAGCGCGTCCTGTTAGGGCCTCGCCACATCAACGTCGAAAACTGCATTTTCGACATTTTTTCTCTTCCATTTTTGTTTTCTTTTTTTTTGAAATTGCACCCCATTTTAACGGATGTCCCGAAAGACTTTCGACGTTATCTCGCCACGCCAATGTCGAAACATCACGAAATTCGACATTGGTGTGACGAAGGCTTTTAGTTTCTCCCTCTTCCTTCAAACGCGTCCTCTAATGCATATTGGGCGTCGCCGCACGGGACACGAAACGAAAAACGAACCGAGTGCATCTTCCTCCAGAAAATGGACAGGTTCATCCGTTTCCTACAAATAGTAACGAGTGTATTTTGCCACCTTTTGTGGGCAGAAGCACTCGTTTCGTTTTCGTTTCGGGTGCCGTGCGGCGCCATGCTCCCATGACAACACGGGGAAGAATTGTGACGTCCCCGGCCTCGATCTGTTGTTTCGTAATGAATTTATTTCGACGTCCCCGGCCTCGATCTGTTGTTTCGTAATGCATTTATTTCGCCCCTCGCCGGCTTTCCCCCATTCCCCGAAACCAAAAACAAAAGGATTACCCTAAAAAAAAAAAAAAAAAAAAACCGAAAGAAAGAAAGAAAGGCGTTCTCATTCGTAAAAGAAAAGACAACTCAAGTGGGTCAGCCGACGAATAGAAACACAATAATTTGTAAAAAAAAAACTTAAGACAAAAAGTGGGTCAGCCGACGAACACGAACCCGACCACAATCACGATAGAGGGCTCGTAGTACCTTTATTTACAGCAGCAGCCTACCGTATTCACCCAAACAGAACGCCCGCTCATTATTGCTGCATTTGGCACAGAATTCAGTCCAGATGCAGCGATAATGACCGGGCATTCTATTCGGGTGCAGTCGGTAGCAATAGGCGCGCAGCGCAGCGAAGCGCTGTTCTGGTTATGTACACAGTCAGCAGACGTGAAGGAGCCTAAATCGACTCGACAGAGCACATCGCACATTTGACCAGGACGAGTCCGACGGACTGTCGAAACGAAAAAAGCACGAGTGCATCTTCCTTAAAAAGGTTGCGCGATGCATCCTTCCCTCTTCGGATAGCAACTGGTGCATCTTGCAACTTTCTGCGGCAACATCCACTTGAACGATTTTCGTTTCGACAATGACGTGACGAAGCCCAACGACGCGATCATGGCGAGAACGAGGCTAGATTACAGCGGCCTCTCACTGTATGGGTCACGCCGCACGGCACACGAAACGACAACGAAGCGAGTGCATCTGCCCATGAAAGGTGTCAAAATACACCCATTACTATTTACGGCAAACCGATGAACCTGGCCATTTTCTGCAGGAAGATGCACTTGTTTCGTTTTTTGTTTCGTGTCCCGTGCGGCGACGCCCTATATCATCCAAGTCATCACTCGACTCAAGATCGGCAGTCTGCGTCATCCAGCAACAAGAGGCTGCTGCATAGATTCCCTAGACTACCTGAATTTCACATTTACCCTTCTAATCAAGACGATTCATTCGCAAAGACATACGCGATACAATGGGCCTCGCTGCACCACTCTCAACATGCACAACAGACAAAAATCATGGCGCTGTATCTTTCCATATTCTAGCGGAAAATACACTCGTTATGCACATTTCGACAGTAGTGCAGCGAGGCCCAATGTCTTTCAGTTGACAAAGCAAAGCAGAGCCGCTCAAGCACTTTGGACATGGATCGGGCTCAACACACACACAATCAGGCACGCGGAGCGACAAACGACGACAGGTGCAAGGGACCTAAAGACACAGGGCCTCGCCGTACCGCTCACCAAATGTGAAAAACACAGAAACATGGTGCATGTACCTTACCATGTTCTAGCGGAAAATTCCTTGTGATTTTGCACATTTGGTGAGTGGTGCGCCGAGGAGAAACGTCAATGCGGACAGTCGCGGTTTCACGGGGAGCCAATGACAGGTGCACGGGACCGACAGACACACAGACAGGATATTTAACGGGGAGGGGTAACGGGGAGCGGTAACGGAGAGGGGGACACCCGTAACGGGGAGGGGTAACGGGGAGGGGTAACGGGGAGGGGGTAACGAGGAGGGGGAGACCCGACCCCCCAAGAGATTGTATCGGTGTTTCGCCGTCGCAACTCAACCATACGGAGAAGCGAAAAGGTATTAAAAAAATAAAAATAAAAAAAAGGTTGAAACTCTAATGCCCTTGGCCACAGTTGTGTCGAAACGAGCGAGAAAACTACGAGTGCATCTTCCACAGAAATTGGGCAGATGCATCTGTTACTATTCATCGTAAGGTAATGGATAAGGGATGCATCTGGCATATCCCCCTTCAAGACCATGCAGTCGTGCTTTCTTCGTTTCGACAGTCATGTTGCGAGGCCCTAAGAATGAATCACCAAACGGGATTTACAGTCGGGTTCCCAAAAAAAAACAAAACAAAAAAGAAAGTCAATTCACACGTCCCTTCTTACCATAACGTTTAGGTTTTTCTGGCACAAAGTAAGCTGGTTCAAACAAATTCTTCGCTCCAGCCCAAAAAACAATTAATCCTGCAGGAGCTACGTGAGCACCCAATAATTGACCAGAAAGATCATATGACCTTTCTTTCTCATTTACGTACTTGAGGCACAGTCACTGTGGCAGTTGGAAAAAACGGGCACTGTATGACTTTTTTCCCAAGCCAAGACAACGACCCAACGGGCCAACAGGGGGCGGAGGAGACAGGGTCATAGCATGGGCGACAAGGTCAAGAGGGGGCACTGTATGACTTTTACCATGCCAAGATAATGACCCAACGGGACAACGGGGGGGGAGGAAACAGAGTCAGAGCATGGGCGACAAGGTCAAGAGAGGGGAGAGAAGCACATCGATCGACCAGGTCAGAAAGCTGAGACACGATGATCAGCTCTGGCGGCAGAGCAGGGAGTAGAGACAGACCGTAGCGAAAAAAGAACGACGATACTCACCACCGAATCCAACGGCTATGGCGAGAAGAATGCCAAGAAAGATGACAAGGGGAATCCACAACGGCGCGGTGCAGAGGAGGATCGGAGACAAGAGCAGCAGCAAAGCCCCGCCGATAAACAGAGTCGGAGGACCAACGAGAGTCAACAGGATACCTCCTCCGCCTAGCAACGTTCCAAGCACAAGCACGAGAGCAGCTATGTCTCGCTTCCTCCATTTGCCAGCCTCGGGAACCTTCCGCTTGATCCGCTCAGCGGCTTCCGCTCCTCTCACCTTCATTCTCTCTGCAAGCTCGCTTGCCATTGCCGGCACTCGTCTCTTCTTTAAATTCTAACACAACCTTCTCCCTCCTCCCTCCTCCCTCCTCGCTCTGTTCGTCCACGCAGTCCCACCAGTCCAATGCCCCCCGCTTCCCTAGCCTTGGCAAGCAAACTCGCGCCGCTTATTTGCGCTGCGAAAATTGCTACTCTATCGCTGCGCGCCGCTTTTTTGCGCTGCCCAAAACGCTACTCGACCGCTGCGCGCCGCTTCTTTGGGCTGCCAAAATCGCTAATCTACCGCTGCGCGCCGATTTTGCGCTGCGGAAACCGCTACTCTACCGCTGAATTTCAGCTAAGAAGAAAGAGTCAACTCAGTCAAGTCGCCACTCACCCCTATATGGTCACACACGTCGACAACTTCAAGGCGCCGAGCGCCGCACGCTCAATCCGCAGCTGGTCTAACCGAGGCGAGCCGCGGATTCAGACAAAGGGCGAGCCGCGGATTCAGACAAACTTACCACTTGCCCTGCAGCACTGGTGCCTCTGAAAGATACTGTGAAAATTGCATGACGATATATATATATATACCTCGAAGTCGTCGAGTTGTGGACCTCGGAAGTTGTCGAGTTGTGCAGAGGAGTGCCTCAACAGGAAAACAGAGTCGGCTATGACACCACAGGTCGACGCTGCTCACAACGGCCAGATACAGATACAGTTTCTGGACTGGACAAACGGTCAGAAACCATCCCTACCGCGCCGCCAGTGGTTGACAAAGGGCATCACCACACCACTCTCGAAATGTGCAAAATGAGAATGAACTTTCCGCTAGAACACGACTAGCTGCACCCTCCACATTTTTGTCTTTTTCACATTTCGAGAGTGGTGTGGCGAGGCCCAAAGTCGCACGAAGAAACGCATGTCTATCAATTCCATCGAGCAACGACTCGATTACTCGGATATCACCGAGCGGAGTATAAACGAATTCCCTTCGGTTCCATCATTCTACTGCTCCTATAGTGCCGTGCGACAAACTCGATTACGAGATCATCACCGAACTCTCTTCGTTTCCATCCTTCTACCTCTCCTATTGCGACACACTCGACTGCTCGATCACCACCAAACTCCCGCCGTTTCCATCCACCTACCTCTCCCATTCTGCCATACAACCCTTCTCTCTTTCTCTCTCTCTCTCTCGCTCGCTGTGTGTGTGTGTGTGTGGGTGTGTGCTCTGTGTGTGTGTGTGTGTGTGTGTGTGTGTGTGTGTTCGATGTACCGGTTTGGATTGAAGCACATATACGGTGATATACTGGTCCGCGGGCGTATTGTGACCAATATGTGGGGTCAATGGGTGTATTCTGACAAATATACCGGGGGCCCGGCGGGGGTACCTTTTTTTTGCAACAGAGGACTTGTCGGCCTTGGAGTGCCTGCCTCGGGCCCGGGCCCGGCGGACGGAAGGGTATACTACTATACTTTCCTCCCGAACTTCCACTGTAAACTCTCTCTCTCTGTGTGTGTGTGTGTGTGTGTGTGTGTGTGTGTGTGTGTTGTCATATTCGCTATACACTCAAAAAAAGAATGACTGTACCAGACTGTTTCGTCGGACTTTCAGTGTGTGTGTGTGTGTGTGTGTGTGTGTGTGTGTGTGTCTGTCTCTGTGTCTGTGTCTCTGTTAGGGACAGTGCTTGTGCCTGGAAGGGAGAGTAGACGATTATTTTTATGTAAAATGACCTTTTCCAAGAGGATAAAAGAAGCAGGCAATATGACTAAAACAAAGAAAGAGCGGAGTTTGGGGTCATGAAACCAGTCTGTACTACTTAAGACCGTGGCATAACTGAGAGTTAAGTTGGTTCACACCTCCTCATTCCCGATGGCGCCATCATCTTAAGGGAAGGGCCTTCGTGCCAAACTGCTGCCAGGCAACTCCAGCTATTTTCACTCTACTCTGATGGCGACCAGTGCCTACCACATTTTCATTCTTTTCATACACCCCGCGGTAAGACCGCCAAATCTCGTCGACCTACACCCTTTCTAGACTTCTAGTTCTTGAAAGCTTGATCAGGAGCTAAGCTTGAGAAGAGATTCCATCTACTATTTGGAGATCGAAAATGATCACAAGCCAAAATTTAGGGAAAAGTTATAGAAGCTCCCCGCGGCAAAACCTTTGTAACGATTTCTCCCCAAGATGGACTTGCTGCATGAGGTCCCCCAATAACTTTTCTGTTATTCTTGCTCCCGGCGCTGAGGCCACGCCAGCTTGATAACCAAGGCTCAAGTTTCCGTTCCTGTAGTCACTTCGAATTTCCAGCCGCCAGCCAACCCAGTTGTACGTGGGCGATATTTGGGTTCGGTACATTCAAATGGGCATAGCATACTCGCGTCCGCACGTCCTTCACCTCACCTGGGCCCGATTCAAGAAAGATACATCCAAGGAAGTGCAAGTGTGCTGCAGGTCCGAAAATGACTTCCCGCCATTTCTGCATAGCGGGCATTACCGGCCCAGTACAGGGCCGGAGGTACTTGGGCCTTCACCTCACCTGGGCCCGATTCGAGAAAGATACATCCAAGAAAGTGCAAGTGTGCCGCAGGTCTGAAAATGACTTCCCGCCATTTTTGTATTGCGGGCGTTACCAGCCCAGTACGGCCGGAGGTACTTGGGCCTTCACCTCCCCTGGGCCTGATTCGAGAAAGATACATCCAAGAAAGTGCAAGTGTGCCGCAGGCCGAACGGAAACCTCGAAAAGAGCCAAGCTTATCAGCTTCCGCGGCCTCAGGCTTACGTCAAATGCAGCAAGTCCATTTTTCCCCAAAATTTAATCAAAACAATGTTGGAGGTCACAAGAGAGACTCTTCTTTGGGTGCTATAACTGCTATGCAAAGTGCCGAACCGTATGATCCGGTGTGGCGAGTCTGCTACACTGCAGGATCTGGTTGTCAAGGTTAAGCTGGCACTTTGTCTTTTTTTTTCCCTCTTTTAACTGGTATTTCATCAAAATGGACATCTTTTATTTTTTGAACAAAATTGAAACCGAGTTTTTTGGCCGAAAACTCGTCAAAATTTGCTGTTCATGAGGGTCCGGCGTTTGTAAAACGCTGGACCCCCTGGCTGTACATGGACCTAGATTGCGACCAGGTGCCTCCCGACAGTTCTCCCTGGAGGGCGCCTGGGGGTTGTAAAACGCTGGACCCTCAGGGCCAACAAATTTTGATGAGTTTTCGGCCAAAAAACTCAGTTTCAATTTCGTTCAAAAAATAAAAAATGTCCATTTTGACGAAATGGTCGTTTTTTTGTTTAATCCGTAAACATCAAGAGTGCAGAATGCACAAGGGGCATTGATTGTTTCCCCTGATGGGAAGGATTAACCCCGTGCCATGTAATAATAGAGCCCTGCCCTACTAAGGAACACCACCAGAAGTTGGAGCATTCAAGACCGAAGGGTGGGGGGGAGTCATAGCAGGGGAACTCATGTGTCATGATAGGGCTAAGAAACTCAAACATGATCCTGGTCCCAATCGAGCCCTATGTGCAGCGTGCCTCTAGCTGCCCTGGCCTACAGCGACGGCTATCAGGCTATTTTGCTTGTTCGGCCTGTGGAACCAGGTCATAGCCTGACCCCACAGGCCTGTGCTCATTCAATCCAGTCCAGTCCCGCTGGGTACCACTGTCAGTACCAGTCCAGTCCAGTCCAGTAAGTCCGCGGGGGGTATACCCCAACTGTAGTCTGTTTCAGCTTCATTCTTCGTTTGCACACTTTGGAGTATGGACGTGTTGAGTCTACGTTGGAGTTGGGTTGTCCCTGCCAGCTCCATCTCCATCTCCCTCATCCTCATCTATTTGTCTTGATCTTGGCGGACCACCATCCAAGTGGGGCGTCACACTGGTATTAGAGCGGGAACAGTCCCCGCTCCCACCCACCCCATCCTGGCGATCCCGCAAGTGGGGAGAATAGCATAGTCTCGCTAGCGGGATTTTCGCCTGTTTTCGGCCATTTTCAGAGCAAACAGACGGGAAAACAGTGCAGCGTGGAGAAAGTGACGCGTGGCGAAAAAGAAGACCAAGGCCGGTCCAAGCTCGCGCACCACGGTGAGCACGCTGCTCTACTGCCCCGTCCCAGCCCACCCCATCAAGATCTGGGATGCATGCTGGTACCAAGATTTGAACCTGGGCAGCTGCCAGCCATGGGCATGCGTATCTACTACCTTAGCACACTAACCAAGCTCTATACAAGTTTTAAAGAGTGTGGCATGTTGTTGTTGAACTGTTACACCAGATATATACCCTCTCCTCCCTGGGCAAGCGGCGAGCAGTGGCCAACACGACAGCAGCGGGTGGGCTGCTATTTCCCTCCCCCCCCTTCCTCCTCCTAGCGTTGTAGTTGTTGTTGCCTGCACGTGTGGCCATCTGCAGTGCCGCGTGGCAGCTTGCTGAAGATAGTGAGGACCCCCATGGCTATGGGGGTGCGTGATAGTACAATTATTAGGGTGGCTGATCAAGATCTCAACCAACCCTAGATTATCTTCATTAATATTTTTCTGCTGCAGCAGCAAGTGGTCAGTACCTTGAAGGCCAAGCTTGGTGATCTTGTTCATCTTGGTCAACCAAGAGCTTGGTATCACCTCTCTTTC